GCAGCGCTCTCGCACCGTCCCCGCCCCTCAGCAGCTCCGTGAGTGGTACTTGCAGCGTCAGCGTGGTGGTGCGCTTGGTCCCTGCCCCTACGTTCTTCGCACTGGTGACCGTGCAGGGGAGAGGTGTGGAGGCGCCCACACAGCCCGCCGCTGCTTTGGCCGCCTGACCGACGCCTAGCGTCAGCAGTTTCCGGAGGCCGCTGAGATCCCCCGCTGGGGGGAGCTGTCTAGAGCTGGTGTAGCTATTTATGATCTTGATTTTGATGCTATTCTCTCTGCTATGTATGCTGTGGTTAGTGATGAGGATGACTGTTACCGGTGTTTCCCGCCCGACCCGGGCATTGGTACTGCCGCGTCAGGTACTAGTGAGGCTGCTGCTCTAGGTGCCAGTGCGTCTGTGCTCTCAGGTGCTGGTGAGTCTGCCCTCTCAGGTACTGTGTCGGCTTCGGCCTCTCACACCTTCACCCTTGACTCTGGAGCGTCTCGCTCCTTCTTTAGGGACCGCACCACTCTCACGCCGCTGAGTTGGCCGGTTGCGGTGTCCCTGGCTGACCCCTCTGGGGGGCCTGTCCTGTCTCGCTTCTCCACTGTCCTCCCGTGTCCGGCGGCCCCCTCTGGCATCCTGACTGGTCTCTACCTCCCCTCGTTCTCGACGAACTTGGTGAGTGGTGCTGACCTACAGGATGCGGGTGTCCACCAGTTCACCCCTGCTCGTCAGAGGGTGACTCAATGCACGGAGGCGGATACAGGTCGCCACCTGGCTACGTTTACACGTCGGCCAGGGTCGAGCCTGTACACACTGACCACTGCTTCTCCTCCAGGTGCTGAGTCTGGTAGGGTCCCTTCGTCTGGTCAGGTGTTTGCTGCAGCGTCCAGGTCTGGTCCTGAGTCTGCCCCCTGCTCGTGTCGTCGTCTGTCTCACGAGACCCTCATTTGGCACCACCGCCTTGGCCACCCCTCTCTGCCTCGGCTCAGAGGCATGGCCTCGCGAGTCCTTGTGTCTGGTCTTCCCCGGTCTCTCCCTCCCCTTCCTCCGGGCCCTGGCCCTACCTTTGTCCCCTGTGTCGAGGGGCGCCAGCGTGCTGCCCCTCACTCCTCCCAGTTTCCTCCGACAGAGGCCCCGTTGCAGACGCTTCACATGGACGTGTGGGGCCCAGCCCGCGTCCGTGGACAGGGTCAGGAGCGCTACTTCCTGCTGGTGGTTGACGACTACTCGCGTTACACAACAGTCTTCCCCTTGCGCAGCAAGGGTGAGGTCACTGAGGTGTTGATCGACTGGATCCGCGCAGCTCGTCTCCAGCTTCGGAGGAGCTTTGGCTCTGACTTCCCTGTTTTGCGTCTGCACTTGGACAGAGGCGGAGAGTTCTCCTCTGGCCTCCTGAGTGCCTACTGTCGTGCGCGAGGCATCCGTCAGACCTTCACGCTTCCGGACTCACCACAGCAGAATGGGATTGCTGAGCGCCGCATTGGCATGGTCATGGACGTCGCTCGTACGTCCATGATGCATGCGGCTGCTCCCCATTTTCTGTGGCCGTTTGCGGTCAGGTACGCTGCGCACCAGATCAACCTCCACCCCAGGGTCTCTCGACCGGAGACCTCCCCAGCCCTGCTGTGGACGGGGAAGGTTGGCGATGCGTCGGCGTTCCGGGTCTGGGGATCTCGGGCGTTTGTTCGCGACCTGTCTGCGGACAAGCTGTCCCCTCGTGCTTCTCCCTGCGTCTTCCTGGGGTTCCCCCCCGACGCCCCTGGGTGGCAGTTTTACCACCCCACCTCTCGACGTGTTCTATCCTCCCAGGACGTCACGTTCGACGAGTCGGTACCCTACTACCGCCTCTTCCCCTACCGCACTCCGTCCCTCCCCCCACCCCCGCTCTTCTTGGTACCAGGTCCCCCCCCGGTAGTCCCCCTCCCCCCTCAGGGTCCTGCCCCTTCAGGTGTGTCCCAGGTAGACGCGGTCGAGCCTGTCGAGGTCACTGGTGACTCTGGTGCTGCTGCGGGAGCTGAGCCTGGGGGTGCGGAGTCTGGGGGTGCTGAGCCTGGGGGTGCTGAGCCTGGGGGTGCTGTGCCTGGGGGTGCTGAGCCTGGAGGTGCCGAGCCTGGGGGTGCTGTGCCTGGGGGTGCTGTGCCTAGGGGTGCTGAGCCTGGGGGTGCTGAGCCTGGGGGTGCTGTGCCTGGGGGTGCTTCGTCTCGCCGGGAGCCACTCTCCCCACAGGAGCTGCGTGAGTGGTTTGCCAGGCGCTGGAGGCGTGCTGCTGGTGCTGGTGGTTCTTCGGCTACAGAGGGTACTGCTGCCGCGCGTCCCGCCGGTGCTCGTACTGTGGGTGCTGGAGCTGCTGGGTCTGAGAGTTCTCCTGGAGCTGGTACTGCTGAGGGTGTTGGCGCTGAGCCTGCCGTTGGCGGTCCGACTGACGGTGCTCCTGGTGCTGCTGCTGGAGGTTCTGGAGCTTCTGGTGGTGCTGCTGGAGGTGCTGCTGGAGTGGGTGCTCCTGCCGGGGCTGCTGGTGCTGTTCCTGCTGTTTCTAGTGTCGCCGCGCGGCCCCGACCGTACTTCGTTCCGCTCCTGCAGCAGGTTCTTGGTCTTACACCTCCTCCTCCTCCTCCCTTAGAGGGTCCGCAGCCTGTCCGGTCACAGCCACAGCTACAGCCTGCCTCCCCTTTGCCTGCTCCTTCTCCCTACGCTGGTCCGACTGGAGGTCTTACTGAGCGTCGTGAGCCTGCGTCTCGTCCTGTGTCGCCTGTTCGCACTGAGCGCGCTAGTGGTCGCGGGTCGCGTCAGCGTCCTCCTCCTGTCCCTGGCACGCACCGGATGTCACTGCGTCCGTCCACTGCTCCTCTGCGTGCCCCTTTGCCTTCTCCTCCTGCTTCCTCTCTTCCTGCTCTTGCCGACCCGGAGTCGGACTCTCTTCGTGCTGCCAGTCCTACTGTCACGCGTCTCCTTGCTACTGCTGTCACTGACCCTTCCTTCGAGTCGTCTGCTGCGTCTGCCCTTGTCACTGAGCTTGTCGACTTTGCTGCGCGCTGTCGTCTAGACTACGCAGCTCGTCTTGTCACTGAGTCTGAGTCCGCCTGTCCTCCGTCCGTCGGGGGTGAGTGTGCCCTTGGCACGGACGTCCTTGAGGACAGGCAGGAGGAGTTCCAGTGTCTGGCCGCCGCTTCACCTCGTCTCGCGTCTGTACTGCTAGCCCCTGAGGGAGACCCGGATGCACCAGACATCCCGACTCCGCGCTCTTACGCGGAGGCGATAGAGGGTCCCTACTCCTCTCAGTGGCAGGCAGCTATGGATGCAGAGATGGCTTCCTGGAAGTCCACAGGCACCTACGTTGACGCTGTTCCCCCTCCTGGGGCGAACATCGTCAGTGGCATGTGGATTTTCAGGGTGAAGCGGCCGCCGGGTTCTCCGCCTGTCTTCAAGGCGCGTTACGTGGCTCGTGGCTTCAGTCAGCGGCAGGGGGTTGACTACTTTCAGACCTTCTCCCCCACCCCGAAGATGACCACTCTTCGGGTCCTGCTGCACGTTGCTGCTCACCGTGACTACGAGCTGCACTCTCTCGACTTCAGCACAGCTTTCTTGCAGGGTAGCCTGCACGAGGAGATCTGGCTGCGTCGCCCACCTGGCTTCACTGGGTCTTTCCCTCCTGGTACCCAGTGGAGTCTCCGGCGTCCAGTCTACGGTCTCCGCCAGGCGCCACGTGAGTGGCACGACACACTGAGGACTACGCTCGCGGCACTTGGGTTTGCTCCTTCTACTGCCGACCCGTCGCTGTTTCTGCGCACCGACACCTCTCTGCCGCCGTTCTACATCCTCGTGTACGTCGACGACTTGGTCTTTGCCACAGCTGACACTGCTGGACTCGCCTACGTGAAGTCCGAGCTGCAGAAGAGACACACGTGCACTGACCTGGGTGAACTGCGCAGCTATCTTGGCTTTCAGATCACCCGGGACAGAGCACGCCGCACCATTACCCTGACTCAGTCACACATGGTGCAGCAGGTCCTTCAACGCTTCGGCTTCACGTACTCCTCGCCTCAGGCCACTCCTCTGCCTACTCGCCACTCGCTCTCAGCTCTGCCTTCGGATGAGTCCGTAGAGTCGAGTGGCCCGTTTGCAGAGCTTGTTGGCTGCCTCATGTACCTGATGACCTGCACACGACCTGACCTCGCATACCCTCTTAGCATTCTCGCACGCTTTGTTGCTCCTGGGAGACACCGACCAGAGCACATGGCTGCAGCGAAGAGGGTGTTGCGCTACTTGTGCAGTACGTCGGGCATGGGGCTAGTGCTTGGAGGGCGCAGTCCAGTGGTCCTCACTGGGCACGCAGACGCTTCTTGGGCTGACGACCAGGCTACGCAGCGGTCGTCACAGGGTTACACCTTCAGCCTTGGTTCCGGCTCTGTCTCGTGGCGGGCTACCCGCTCGTCTTCTGTTCTCGGCTCCAGTTGTGAGGCTGAGATCTACGCTGGGGCTATGGCTGCACAGGAGTTACGCTGGCTCACCTACCTGCTGACCGACCTTGGAGAGCAGCCTCGTTCTCCTCCAGTCCTGTACGTAGACAACAAGGCCATGCTGGCCTTGTGTCGAGAGCAGCGACTGGAGCACAGAACGAAGCAATC